GGCCGGCGGGCGTGCAGGCCGGGCGGGCTGGGCTCCATGCCCACCGCAGCGCACACTGGCGCGGAAAACACACCCGCGGGCTTCCCCAGCCCCTTCGCGGTCTGCTCACCAGCTTCCCATCATCCGGGAAGGAGTTAACGCAGCTGAAAGAGGCGTTTATTGTAGGAGAGTGGGAAGTGCCCCCGAGAGGGAGCGCGGGTCTCCCTAATGAAATGGCTGCACCATCTGATTGAATCGGTGGCAGTTTTACGCAGGAGCTGGAGGTGGGAGAGGGTGTGAGCCGTAATTGCTTCTAGGAACAGCGAGGAGAGGGCACGAGAGAAATGAGTTCATCAGCGTCAGTGCCAGCGGTTCCCGATTCTCTCGCCCTCCGCTTGGTGCCGTCCACGGGCCAGAACCAGAACAGGGACTTGCCTCTGACTTGGCACCTTAGTCTTTGGACCACGCTCTGCTCTCTTCTGCGTGTGACCTTGGGCCTCCATTAACTCCTCTACACAGTGTGTGGGGGGGGCGGGGGGGAGATGCTCTCCAAAGAGAGAGCCCTTCATTCAACCAGCAATCAAGACTCAGCGGCTTCTTGAAAATCATGAATAAGAGGAAAGACGCCCTCGCTCTCTAGGCCGTCCCACTAGACAGAACACTAGCCTCGTCCTTCTGCTCCTTGGGATGGAGGAGGGCCTGCGTGCGGCTCTGCGCCCGCCTTCGGGGCGGTGGCGGGGAGGCCAATCAGCAGATGCCATTGCGCTTCACCTCCCAGCATCCGGGAGGCCGAGGTTCCTCCGTGACCTTCCCTTCCCGGGTGGAGGTCAGGGGGTCAGCTCAGGACCCCGCGGAGCAGGGGTGGGGGTGGAGGGCACACCTACCTCTCCGACTTCAGGACCCAGGCCGCCCTTTCCCCAGCCGTGCTGTCCCCTCGGGGAGGAAGAAGGCTCACGGGGAGCCCTGGCCCGGGAGTGGCCGCTGCCACTGGCGGGGACTGCTGGCAGGGAGAGGTCACCGCGCAGGGAGGTGCCGGCAGGAATGTGGGACGCGCCTGCCCCGCTGGGTTTCTGTGGGAGCCGCCGGGGAGCCTTTCATCCTGTGCTCGGGGTTATCTTGTAAACTCCCGGGCCGCGTCCGCTCTGTGCTCCTAAGAGCCGGGCCTCGCTGTCGGAATGGAAGGGCGCCTGAACCCCTGTGTGTAAAGGGGGGCAGAGGAGCCCAGCCCAGGGGAGGCAGGCTGGTCTCTAGTAGAACCAGGCACCGTGGGAAACCCTGCTGATGGCTGGAATAAGGAAATCTGCTCAGGGATTCAGCCCTCCCGTCAGCCTTAGAATTTCTTCCACGAAGCGTGAGAGCTCTGAGCCCATTCCCAGGACCTGCTTCTCAGGTGGGAGCTATGCCATGATCGGGAAAACCCGCTCACCATTCACCGTCACCATCACCGACCGGCAGCCCCCAGGCAGCCAGAGCCATACCGTCTGGCGATGGGCCCTTCCTCCCGGCCGGGCTCTGGCCTCAGCACGCTGTCACTGCCAGACTGGTCACCCACAACTCCACGTCACAGGCGAGATGATGGAGTGCCTGGTCCCAGGTGGTGGGACCGAGGAGAGGGGAGGCTGGGTCCCCACGGGTCTGCCTGGCCCGCCTGTGCCCTCAGTCCCCCTGAGACTCTGTCTGCTCTGCCTTCCTGCCCCTGGGCCTAGTCTAAGGAGGCAGCAGAAGTGGTCTCTAAAGGTTCTCAGAGCAAACTCAGGGGGGACTGTGAACTTCTGGGTGAAACTGCGACAAGGGCACGGAGGCCCCCAGGGGCCTGCTGAAGGTCAGGGGCCTGCTGGACACCGGGGGCTGGGATCAGGCCATGGGAGCAGCAGGGCCCAGAGAGGCCGGTGATGGCCGCTCAGACCTCAGCCGCCGTGGCAGGTCTTAGGTGGCCTGTGTCCTCACAGGGCAGCAGGGAGCCCGGCCGGCCGGCGTGGCTCAGTCACTGAGTGTCGACCTATGAACCAGGAGGTCACGGTTTGATTCCTGGTCAGGGCACATGCCTGGGTTGTGGGCTCCATCCCCAGTGTGGGTATTTTTTTTTTTTAAAGGCAGCAGGGGATCGTGGGAACTGTGCCATAGCATCATTTTAAAGAACGCTTAATACTAGGGGGTGGGGTGGGGTGGAAGAGAAACTAGCTGCGCTTCTCCCATCCCAGTTGCATAAAGCTTCCGTGAATCGATGTAGAAAATACTCAAGGAAGCTGTTTCCAAGATGCCGCCAAGGTTTCTCTGGGTAGTGGCTTTATAGAGGCTTTATTGGTTTATTCTTCACATCTTTCCGGGATCTCCAGATTCTCTCCCGCGGGTATGAATTGCTCTTACAATCATGAGCAGAATGTAGCAAGAATAAGGGAGGCTCAAAAGTGGGGAGAGGGGGATTAAGCAGGCCAGGCTGAGTTCAGATTCCAGCCCGGCCCCGCTGGCTGTGTGTCCTGTGTCAAGTGCTTGCCCTTCCCTGAGCCTCGGTTTTCCAAACCCATAAACGTGAGGCGTGAACACATGCCCCGCGGGATTGCTCGGGGTCTTAAATGACAGAGTACGTCCAGGGTGGAGGTGGGTTTGGTGAGCTGGGAGAGCTGAAATGTCACCAAAGCCCGAGTACTCGGGAGACGGGGTGGTCTGCTGCCTTGCCGTGCAAATTGAGCAAACCCCGTCCCCTCCTCGGGCCGCAGGGCCCTCCACTATGACAGGGACGAGTTGGGCTTGTGAACGTGTTGCTTCTGCTCTCCCTGCTCCTCCGTGATGGTACCCACTACCCGCCCTGTGGACCTGATGCACCCGGTGCTGCCTGTCGTCTGGCTCTGCACCAGGCACAGGAGGCGCTGGGATGGGGGCTCCACATCTGTCATTCCCCTGCCAGGGATCTTACAGGATTTCCGGGGCACCCCACCACATCCTGACCTCGCTCTGCAGGTGCGCCTGCCCCGTGACCCACATTGCTCCCTGCTCGCCTCTGGGCAGGTGCAGCCACAGACCTGCGCCTTTCCCTGTCCTGTTCTCCTTTTCCCGTCCTGCCAGGGAGGCTGCTGGGCAGCTCAGGACGATGGAGAGCAGGCAGCCAGCTCAGGGACCCACCCTCCACCGCCGCCTCCTGCCCGACTCAGAGCCCAGGCTCCAGAGCCTCGTGGAGAAGGCCTTGGGATTCGCTCATCGGGCTATTTCACACCTGCTGGTTGGAAACCTTAAGAAAGGTCCCCCGAAACTCCAAACATAAAATAGAGAAAAGCAACTGCTGGTTGGGGCTGAGCCAGCACTCCTGCCTCTTGATACGACAGCCCAGTCCTGGGAGGTCAGAAAGCACCGGTTGAAAAATAGCAATTGGATGCCCTCATGTTACCAAGAAAAGGCTCCGAGAGGGCGAGCGACCTGCCAAGGGCACGCAGCCTGCACACACCCTGTAAGTATGCCCACCACAGAGCGCTGGTGCCCCACACCCCTGAGTCCTCCTCTGGCCACCGCCTCAGCCGCCAGGAAGGTGCCAGGGAGGGAACTGTGACTTTGCAAAGCTGTTTGACGACAGAATGAGCCGCTGAGCCTCTGGGGCCTCACAGTTTCTGTCTGTGGCTTTCCTTCTGCAGTGTCTTCAGTCTTCGCTCCCAGCCAGTATATGCAAATGACTGCCCCGCCCCCTGCCCCTGCTCCTTCCCAGCTGGGAGGAAGTGGTTTGGACTCAGTGTACTTACTGCCTCGGAACATTTAGGGAGGAGAGAGAGGGAGGAAGACAGTCACATGGTATGGCCTCGGTGTGTATTTCTTAGTAGAAGGGACGGATGGGTGAGTGGAGGGATGGATGATGGATGGATAAAAGTACTAACAGGGCCCTCAGGTTGCTGACAAGAACCAAATGGTCTGGCCTGACGCAGTGGAAATTCCTAAGACTGTTCAGCCCCAGCTTCTCTCACAGCCGGCGGACGCAAATGCTTGCTGCGTGTCAAGCGAAAGATGAAAACCGGCAGCGTTTATGAGTGCAGGAAGCTGGCTGGGGTTTCCTGGAATGAATAATTTCTAAGTCTCTAAGCAGCGCACTCCCCCTGGAAATAATGTTGCCGGCTCTCAACACGCAGAGGGGGAGATGTTGTCTGTGTTAGGAAACCAATGTGCTTGCTGCCATGCAAACCTACCCACGTCCGCCTGGTTGCCCGTGTCAGGTGGAGGAACACATAGACACGAGCACTTAGAGACACGGAGAAGGTGTGTAGTTATGTAGCTGGGCCCAGTGCGGTGAACACAGCTGTTTCCCTCGACTGCCCAGAACCACCCGCGTACCTGGGTGTCCTTCAAGGGCCAGGGTGAAGAATGCCATGAGTAGCCACTCTGCCACTCTAGCATTTAGCACCTCCTGCTTATTGCCTATGGCTTAACCTTGGTACAGACCCATGAGGAGGCTGGTCTTTTTAAGAAAAGGAAAGTGACACTCAGAGAGGCATAGTAACTTGCCCAGAGTCACACAGCTCACTGGCGACTGAGCCAGAATGTTGGCTGGCAGGAGGGGGGATTAGGTGGGGTGGTCGCTGACTTAGAGGCTTTCCAGGAAGCGGTCTCGCTGCCCTGGTGCTGGACTATGCAGACCAGTCTGTCTGTTTCATGGGATTTAGGGTTATCAGTAGCCTGCTTTTCAGAACACATTGTGTGTTCCTGAATAGCATCCTCCTAGCTGGAGAAGACCAGTTACAAGAGATTTTGCCAGAACTTTGAATTGGGCTCACCTGTCCAAACTGAGAAGGACCACAGCCCAGGCGAGAGGCTGCAGCTCAGCCTCGCACAGCGAACCGCAGAATGACACTTGTTATTTTGGCAGAATGTGGGGTGTGTTTCTCCTGAGATGGAGCGCACTGCTCCAAAGACACACTTTCCCCTTCACACACTCGCTCCCCCCGGGTCTCTGCCCCCCACCCCCCACCGCTCTGTCCTGAGAGCGTAATTCTCTCTGCTGTGTGACTTGGACGAATCACTTAACCTCTCTGGGTCGCGTTTCCTTATTTGTCGAAAGCAAACAATAATTGTAATCTTGAAGAATTATTCTGAGGATTGCAGGAAAATAGCCTTTCATGCAACACACCTTCCCCACCACTCAGCGTGGCGGACACCACCCCTTCCCACTCCCACGCCTGACCCCAATTCAGGACATTCGAGCCCAACGCCATGGTCGTTTCCCTGACAACCAGGATTTCTGGACACCTAGGAGCCTCAGAGAATGTGGAGCGTGCCACATCCCTTCAAGAACTTTCGCTCTCCAAGCCTCTTCTCACCACACGCCCGCCCCACACACTCACCACCTCCTCTGATTGTCGTTGCTTGTTATCATCAAGCCTGGCTGGCATTTTCCCAAAGACGATCCTCACAGCCAGGCTCCCCAAAGCAGTGGAG